TTGGATTTATACCCCGCCCTTCACTACCCAAAGGTGTCTCAGAGCGGCTTACAAACTCCCTTTCCCTTCCACTCCCCACAGCAGACACCCTGTGAGGTAGGTGGGGCTGAGAGAACTCTTGACAGAAACTGCTCTTTTTCAATGACAGCTCTTATCAGAACTACGGCTTGCCCAAGGTCATCCAGCCAGGTGCAAGTGGAGGAGTGGGGAATCAAACCCGGTTCTCCCAGATTAGAGTCCGCGCACTTAACCACTACACCAAACTGGCTCTGAAACTGAAAGGATCAGATGGTAGGCGGTGTGAAAGACCTCTGCCTGAGATCCTGGAGAGCTGCTTCCAGTCTGAGTGGACAATACTGACGTTGACGGTCTGATTCAGTATAAGGCAGCTTCGTGTGCTCATGTGTGTCCACGAGCTTCTGTAGCACAGCAACAGTTCTCACCATCTGACCTGTTTCTCTGGGTGGTGGCAGCAAACTTGGGACCCCCCCCCCAATGGACTGGGCCCTTGAGGGTCTGTTCAGTTCATGATGCTGTGTTGTACAGCTATCGCCACTCGCTTGCCAATTGACATAACGGCATCAGCAGCAAATTTCCTCCATCTCCTGCCCGGTTTCAGAGGCTGCAGTCATCTGGCCCCACTTGCTGGTGAGCCCACCAGTAGATCAGCAAGCCCTACAAGGGTGTAAGGCTTGAAATTCATGGTGGGGGGCTTTCAGAAGACATTCCTCACTTCGGGAAGGCCGGGTTTGCCAGTTCAGGTCTTTAGAACCAGCATCAGTAGTGCAAGTCATGAGATGTGGAGCTGTCCAGGGTCCTGAAGTCCATAACTCTGATCTGGTACTGATGGCTACATTTGTTGTTGTTGTTGTTCAGTCGCACAGTCGAGTCTGACTCTTTACGACCCCATGGACCAGCTCCCGCCAGGCCCTCCTGTCCTCCGCCGCCCTCCGAAGTTGGCTCAACTCCGTGTTCGTTGCATCTATGACATTGTCTAACCATCTCATCCTTTGCCGTCCCCATCTTCTTTGACCTTCAATCTTTCCCAGCATCAGGGTCATCTCCAGGGAGTGCTCCCTTCTCATTTGGTGGCCAAAGTATTTGAGCTTCAGTTTCATTACCTGGCCTTCCAGGGAACAGTCAGGGTTGATTTCTTTTAGGAATGACTGATTTGTTCTTCTTGCATTCCAAGGGACTCTCGAGAGTCTTCTCCAGCACCATAGTTCAAAAGAATCTATTCTTCGGCGCTCGGCCTTCCTTATAGTCCAAATCTCGCAGCCATACATGAAGATGACATTCCACATGTTGACATCAATGGGAGGAGAGGGTGGTGTGGGCATGAACGTGCTGCCCCACCCTAAATGTAACCACTGTCTTGTAAGGGCAGAGAAAGTGTCTGTAGGAAGGATGCATGTGTGGATTCCAACCCCGTGATCGGGAAAGCTGCTTTTCTGAGCCCTGTGCTTACATCTCAGTGAAGATGCATACAATCCATGCGCACTGTGCATGTGAGCTTTCCTCGCACATGTGCTGAATAATTTTTATGTTTTATTCAAATGCATGATTGCAATGCCATGTGTATCCAGGTACCGGCCTTGGGTTCTAATTTTAAAGCAAGTGCATCCTGGCTGTTCCTTTTGAACAGATGGATGTGGGTTCACTGCAGCATGTGTGCAGGGCTTTGAGCGTTCCAAATCACAAGGACAGAGCCTACACGAGCACACTTTGTATGCACACAGGCTTTGTGCGCCTAAGCTGGAGATCACTCTTGAAGTGGCCTTATGCCGAATACGAGGTCCATCAAGGTCAGTTCTGGCCAGAAGCAGCTGTCAGGCAGAACTCCTTCACATCACCCTACTCATTCATCCTTTTTAACTGGAAATGCCAGGGACTGGACCTGGGACCCTCTGCATTCTAAGCGGATGCTCTGTCACTGAGCCTCCACCCCTCCCCGGGCTCTCTGGTCTCATGTGCAGGAGGTAGTTCCAGTGTGTTTGCTACTCCAGCCTTCAATGAGACATTTACCAGAAAGGTTTACGAGACCAAGGTCCTCAGATAAAGCAATATGTTGTGCCTTCCTTTCCTTTCCTTTCCTTTCCTTTCCTTTCCTTTCCTTTCCTTTCCTTTCCTTTCCTTTCCTTTCCTTTCCTTTCCTTTCCTTTCCTTTCCTATTAGCTCCATTGACCAGAGGTCTTAAGCCATATATGTTGTGTGCCTTTAATATTCATCCTTTTTATATCCTCCTATCATTGAGCTGTGGTGGCTCAAGTGGTTAAGACGCTGAACTGCAGGCTGTGGAAGGTCGGTAGTTCAGCAGTTTGAGACCCAAGTGTGCCGCATGACGGAGTGAGCTCCCGTCTCTAGTTCCACCTCCTGCCAACCTAGCAGTTCGAAAGCAAGAAATTGCAAGTAGATAAATAGGTACCACTTCGGTGGGAAGGTAACAGCGTTCC